ACTTAGTATGCATTAAAAACTATATGCAGTTAGTGACCTACCTAATAATCTAAGTAAATCTAATGAACTTTTTTATATAACAAACACCTTCCCGCTTAGAGTTTAACGAAATCAAACACTCTCGTGTATAAGATAATGTATATTGTTTCATCCAGATTCGATGATATTCATGTTATATTAGCACTGAATTATATTATTATGTCAATTTAAATAGCATTCATAAAACATGAATGCTAAATTAATTTTAAGAAACATACGACAACATGTACTACAATACTGAAAAAATACACTGAATCTGCTCGGGGGATTGACATGTTGAGAGCTTATGGACTTGGACTACCCTCTCTTCTTGCACTCCGCATGCACATTTCCTAGAAGTATGAAAAAATGTACTTAGGATTCCTATAATTAAAGCATTATGCTTTTGACCTTTATCTAAAAATTCAGTTGGATCTAAAAACATCTACCCGTAATAGGTCCTATGGCTTCTTCTACCTTTAACACAAGTACCACGTGATAAAAAAAAAAAAAATCAATATAGTTAATGCTTCTTTTGTCAAATCTAACAGCTCCCGAGTATAAAATTCAACTTAGTTATCTCAAAAACTCAAAAATATAATAATATATTATATTCTAAATGCGTTAAATTAAACATCTTCAACTCATTGTATATTACTACTATCGTGCTAGTAGTAATATATACTTGGTATTACTAATTATTCATTATGTTATTTTATTTTTTTATATGTACTTACAGTATGTTGATAAAATTCTGTCACAATAAGATATCATTTTTAGGATATAAAAAAATTAAAACATCAAAATACTTGAGCTTGAGGACTTCAAAATTTGTAGGACACAAGTTTGCTTAATACTAAAAATTAGAGGAGATGTGATGTCTCTGTGTGTGTGTGTATATATATAATAGAACCCACAAATAAATTCAGAAATTATTTTTAAGTTGGAGCCAAATTAGCTGACAGAAAATACAAAAAAAAAAAAAGGAGATAAAAGGTGTTACTATTATGTTATATTTCTATGGTGGAATGTTCAAATTGAATATAACAGTTGTCAATATCACTGATAGTTCTAAAATAATTCTTTAAATATGTATTACTTTGGAAATTAAGACTCTAAATCACTCTCTTAATTAATTGTTAAATTCATAACTTAGTTTTTATTGAATAATCTATTTGTACTTGTTAGAAAATTAGAAGTAACCTTAATGTGAAAACAATAGGACAAGATGTTTGTTTTTATGCACATGGAGAACGATCCTTAATTGTTGATGCTCTTAACTGCCTCTATTTTTTTTCAAATGCTATTAGGGTTTTGGATAATCTTCACACCTTAAAACCCATGTCTATTTATAGTTTAACTTAACATTAGAGAGAAAATAAAAACATGTTATTTTTCTAGGTGTTATCTTCTTCTTTAATAAACAACATCAATTTTTTATCTCTTATATGCTCACCAATAGTCATATTTTTTTACAAAAAAAAATCTCTTTTATCAGCTCACGAAGAGTTGTGTCTTTTTACAAGGGGTTTTGTGTGTGTTATTAACTTTATGCAACATGTGAGCGTTCTTAATTTTATACAACATCTTCCACTCAGCCACACAAATTACACTAACCACGATATACTACTATATCAACATATCTCTCATGCTTCATATAAAAAACAACAAATAGTGCTATACTAAGTCACCATCTAATTAATACAATATTTTCATATTTATAATACCCTCGATCATTTGAATATTACCATTAGTATGCACTGTCCCTCTATGCTATAATTATATTACTTGGTTATATATAAAATATAATTGTCGAGACTTATGTGATGATGATAGAAAGATTATTTTTTAGACACTCATGACAATCCATCCCAACTTGACTGTTTTCTAACATACTCTACTGGATCGTATAGGTCATGGACCTTGAAAACGTATTAAAGTAGCAACACCAAATCTTGACTTCATGTGATAGCTCTGAGTCAAAGGGTATCATATGAGGAGAACACACTAGTCCATAAGCTTCATAAGTGACAAAGTAGGGGATCATTTTGTCACTCCCTATATCGATCGTCATATAACATATATAATATGATATGTATGTCACAACATAGCTCCTACTAAGTTGGACATGTCACTCTTTTATGTCGTGTGAATCATAAGTCCAAATACTACTCAAGTATCTAACCCGAGCCACTTGATCAACATACTCAATACGTGATCTGATACTCGATATTCAGTTCTAAGTCTTTAGTATAAAATCAAGTATATTTCATATTCAACTTTCTAGAGTTTCATCTTAAACATACTAAGACGACTATAAAAATTTAATATTTTGTCATTAATACAACATAAATATAAAAATATTTTATATTACACATACTTAACACTAATATGATTTATTCTTATACTACTTGTTACTCAAGTGTTAGGGAGATCACTCATTTAATAAGGTCAATCATAAAAGCTTGGTGACATTATTACATGTCTAATCATGTAATTATGCCCATGAATATTTCATAAGAAAATAATGACATTTATTTCATAAATGATCAATACATAAAAACATATGTCCATTACATATCAAATCCTAATTGAAAACTAAAGTTTACGCAAACCTAAACTCTTCATATGACTCCGAAAAGCATCTCTAGATATGGGCTTAGTCAAAGGATTAATAACCATTTTACTAGTGGATATATACTTAATAGCAATCTTTCATTTTTTATGACGCCTTGAATGAAGTAATAATGTCTCTTAATATGTTTGATTTTTCTATGAAATTTCAGATCCCGAACATATCGGATAGTAGTAGTATTGTCACAATGCATTTTTACAGGTTCATCAACTTTAGGTGTGATGTGGAGATCCTGCAGAAAGCTTCTCAACTAAATTACCTCTTGTATTATAAAATAACTAGCAACATACTCTTCTTTCATTGTAGATAAAACAATGTAATCTTATTTTTTACTACACAAAGAAACGATACCTCCATCAAGGATAAAAATATATTCTGAGATCGACTTAGACTCATCCCAATCGCTAACCCAGCTTGCATATGAATATCCTTTCAACCTTTAAGTCCCTTCCTTAATAACAGAGAACTAGGTCACTTATATCACAAAAGTAGTGCAAGATTCTCTTGACTGTTTACTAATGAGCAAGTTTAGAGTTGCTTTCATCAAACCAGCCGCAAGAGAAATGTTTTGGTTGTGTACATAACATGACATATATCAAACTACCTATTGCACTAACATAAAGAATGTTTCTCTTTTTTTTTTCTCTTCATTTGTCTTTG